GGGAGGGGGGGTGGGGAAAGGAGGATGGGCATAGAAAGGATTGCAGAGCTGCACAAACGTCCCCTGCAGTTGCAGGAAGGGAGGCTGTAAAAAAATAAATAAAAGTTTTCCCTTTCAGCAGGATCAAAACACCAGGGACTTTGGCATTATCAGACATCAGACAGACTGGAATGGAAACTGGGACCTTGGAGCTGTTGTAGTGGTTGCTCCCTCCTACTCCCGACCAGCTCTGGGAAGAGGTGGCTCTTCCCTCCCCTCCAGATACTGCCTGGACATTGGGAACCCCCTTATCTGCCATATTGGTCTCTGAGAAATACATAATAACCAAAGGCTAAACCCATCTTATCAGGGGTTTTGGTTGTAGCCGTGTTGGTCTACAGACATAGGCAGACAAGGTTCTTTGGGTAGACGTGGTATCTTTTATTAGAGCAACTAAAGAGTTGGAAAAAAATTGTTCTTTGCAAGCTTTTGGAAACAGGCACCCTTCTTCAGGCAGAGAGAGAGGCTGCTGGTGTGTGTGTGCTCTCCTGCCCAGAGCAGAAGCCCATATGCAAAAGGCAGGTCTATGAAAATGTAAATGCATAACCCATTTTATACAGTTTTCAAGCCCGATGTGCAAGTAGGTGGGAGGAAGAGATTGATAAATTTGACTGGAAAAAAGGGAAGACAGGTGTATATGGAGAGAGGGATTCTGGGGAAGTCGGAAGGAGAAGAGGAGAAGGTAGACTACACGTAAACTACACGTAAAGAAAGGACAATATTAGAGGATTGAGTAAGAAAGAAAGAATATGCTGCAGACAGGGCAAGGATAAATACAACATGATGTCTAACAAAAAAAAGGAGACAGTGGGGCGTAACCAGGAAAGGAAAGTTCAAATAAGAGTGAGAACCTACTATTACGTTTTATTTTAAAAAAGTCATTAGGAAAGAACACTGATTAGCAAGATGCTACCAATGCATTCAGGACACAAAGAACTGCTTTTTTCTCTTTAAATTGCAGGCACATGACAGCACAGCTATTTTCTACCCTGGCTAGTAGGATTAGTTGTCAGGCATTAGCAGGTGTCAAGTAAATGTTTCAGCCCTTGTATTATGTATGGATTTAGATATTTTGAGTCAAACCAATTAAACAAGGTTGAGATGCCAGAGCTCTGCTGAAAACCAGGGTGTGCTTTTGTTTTTCAGCGTCTTAGTGTTGGTTCTGTTTATATGCCACGGTTTTCAGGTGTGTGCTGTACTGCAGAAACCCACAACGAGAATGCTTTATGGATCTAAAGCACCCGCACCCTCCCGGTTGTGATACGAGCCGTAGTGGGATACCTAAAGTAATGAGGCATCATCTCCAGGGACACAGGATGCTTTGGAGCCAGAGACGGCTACAGGATATTGGAAAGAATACAAAGACAAGCACCAACCACATCTAGGAACAATCCCAGCGTCCCAGGTGCTGCTCGTCACTTCTTCCAGCAGCAATATTAAATGGACAATCTATCTGGAGTACTGGACTGCTGCTGGTTTGGTTTTAAATGGGAGCCCTGATACTTGTCTGCCCAAACCCACAGGAAACACTGCCTCAGTTTATATTTGGAAGGCCATCTTCAAAACTGCAACAGAAGCAATGCTAAAGAATTACTTAAAAATTTTTTTTTTAAGCAATTGGTGACTAAGATCCTTTCATGTGGTGAAATTGCCACCCACTTGATAACGGAAAATGGTATTTTTTCAGGCCCCACAAGAGGGCACACGACTGGGTTAAACCCAGAGATGAGGCTTTTTCTGAACGACCACAAAAAGCAAGGAGACTAGAGGCACCAGAGCTGTGAGCTTTGTCTCTCTCCTGCTTTGCTCGGGGCCATTTTTGCTTGACTGCACTACCCACTGCTCTTCCTAAAAATTTGCAGAGTGAAGCAGCAGACAACTCTGCTCTGGGAAACTCATTTACCACCCATGGATCCCTACCCGTCTCCCACCCAGCCCCATCATTTCATTTTCAAAGCTCACTATGAGCTGGCCCTCACAGTAATTCCCTTCCTTGCTCACTCCAGCCTTACCCCCCTTGCTTTTCTCCATAGCTGGAGAGGTGGCCCTCTTCTTCACCGTACCCTGCCAATCTGCAACTTCCCCTTCTTAGCAACCAAGTCTTCTCCTTGAATTCTTTTGGCTCTTTAATTCTGGGCTGACTTCAGCTGTGTTTCAAAAAAAAAATAAATAAAACAGATCATTTCCTGTCATTAGCTAGTTAAAGCGGCTGAGGGAGAAATGCAACTCCTATTCCCCCACGCTGCCTATAAAGCATGCTTAAATTGAGGACGAGCATCTTCCTACCAAGATTTCTGGTCCGTGTGTACTTGCCGACTGGTACTCACAAATCCTGTAGACAGGGCTCTGCTACAGAGGATTTCACAGGAACTGCAGCACTGTGGCCTGAATTCAAACAGGGTTGGTTTATGGATGCTGCCTGTCTACGAGCCCTTTG